TTTCCTTGTGTCCGCGCTCCTGAACAAGACTGTCAACAATATAAGGGAATACGTGTCAGCGATAAAAGACACCGGGAGGGGGTGACCTAAACCAGCAATTCTAAACTTGTGGGTCGCGACCCTTTTTTGGGTCTAACAACCCTTTCACAGGGGTCGCCAAAGACCATCACATATTCTTTGAAGTTACGAAGCAGCAACGAAAATAATTGTATGTTTGGGGGGTAGCCACAGCATAAAGAACTGTATTAAAAGAGTCACGGCATTAGGAAAGTTGAGAGCCACCGAGCCGGAACAATCTCGAAAGATTGGACAATGTACCGATATACCTGTAGCGTGAATAAGCATTCTAAGGTTGATATTAGCCTGGGAGGATACAGCCGAGACCAGATTCCCCCCGTGATTGACTTTCAACCCACCAGGACATCACACCAAGCGATAAACACCTGGTGACACGAAGTGCCACCATTCGGTTGAGGATCACCCGGGTACAGGTCCCATTTCAACCATTAAGTTGTATTTGGGCCATCGACCACAGCTGGGGTTTGGGCTTTAAAACAATTGCATCCCTTATTGTAAAAGTAAGGTCAAGGACCTTTTTTCACGCCTTCAGACATATTGGATGTATGGGACTATATTTTATAGACCAAACTGGACTTGGTGGGTGTGTAGGCAGCATCACGCCGGCGGCCTTTACTTCTCAGGACTGTACCTGGTACCCACTCAAGGCTGGGTCGACCTGGGAGTCAAGGTCATTTTGGAAAAAAGTTCGGGCCCCGTCAGGATCCGAACCCACGACCTTCCGATCCGCAGGCGAGCGTCTAGCCCCTAAACAGCGTCGGCTCCGGCATCCCATATTGGGATGGCTGAATTACCACTATTTCCGTCGTCGCTGACGTCGAGATAGAAGGGCTCACATGGGAAAGCATGGCGTAGATCATTGCACACATAGGTTTGCAGGATATACCTGGCTGGTGCAGCTGTTGTGAGTGCCCTAATTATAGCTTCTATTGATTTTGAACAGGGCATCTTTAATTGACCTGTACTTTTGGTTCACCATCCGGATTGAGGTTTTATAAAGGGTGTCGAAGCTTCACATGGCAGCCCTGAAGGACAGCTGCATTGCGCCAAGAAGGATGCAAGCAACATAGATACAAAAAGATATGCCAGTCACTTACGTAGTAATAGTACTTGAACGAAGCTTTTCGCCAGTGACACAGATGAGCATAATTTATTTTGTACATTAGAGTCCTATGTAGTCACTTCATAGTTAGGGTATATTTGTGTATGTGTACTGTGTTGTTCTTTAGCTGCTGATGAAGGCTAATCGCAGCAACGTCCTTTATTTGTTTATTGTGATCGATTTTGTAAAGCTAACATAAGCTATTTGTTCTTTCTTACCCACTTTTTCTCTTCCTTATAATTTCCCACCCCTTTCAAAACGTAATAGTAGTTATCATTATCATGTAGCAGGTCCTTTGCAGAACGTCACTCTCCTCACGGTCTGCCTGAAAGAAACTCAGTCCCTCAAAACAGGTCAAAATAAAATATTACCTTTGGTGCAGCTACACAGTTGTCATCTGATCTCAATATTCAAACGCGAATGACTCAAAACAGTTGTTTTCCATTTAGGTGACTTTGTCAGCATTTGCAGCCCCCCCCCCCCCCCCCTGGAGGCCTGCATTCCGCAGGATTAACACCCCGCGGAAGAGAATCCTACACGTATAAATTCAGGGACCTTATAGGGTCCCAGGCGGTTACGAAATAACTTCTTCTTCTTCTTCTTCTTCTTCTTCTTCTTCTTCTTCTTCTTCTTCTTCTTCTTCTTCTTCTTCTTCTTCGCGTTCACCGGCTGTTAATTCCGGCGGAAAGTTTTGGTTGTTGAGCCACCTCTGACTTTAGACTTGTAATAGAAGCGGAGTGTTGCGTGCACATCCATTTTACAGATCTGCCTTATTTGTATGCAGACTGTTGGTTCCTTGTCTCTCATGTAGCTGCACTCCGACTTCAAAGGAAATCCCCAATTAGTAACTCTTACAACATAAATTTTTGGGGAGGCAGTGGTTTTTTTCTTCTCCTTGTTTTCCAAACAGTGGGACCCCGGAACCCTCACGGGGAACGAAGTAACAGGAAGTCCTGACCAGGCAGTGATTGTTATTAATAATAATATTATGTGACTTTGGCGTGGCGCTAATGTACACAGTTGACGCAGGGGTCAAGGTCAGCGTTGGGCAAACACGGCCAAGAAGAGATGAAAGAAATTACAAGAGGATAATGGCGCTTAATAGGCAACTAAATCAAGCACGACCATAGAGATAATCTCTGCTATTAGAGTTCTCCTATTGTACTCACAAATTGCAAGAGGAATGACCCCCTTCCGTCCCATGGACGATTTTTACTTCTCGTTATACTTCACCGATATCAAATTTATCCTGAAAATTGACATTTCTATACAGCGTAACGTTGATTTTTTTTTTTTATTGGCCACAAATTGTAACCACTAATAGATGTTCTTAAACAATTTGTAACATCTTATTATATGCTTAGCATACACAAATCAAATTATATAAATTAAAAACATAACACAAAAAGTCAAAACGAGTACTGATGATGAAGATGCTGTTATAAAAGCGACGAAGACAGAAGGAAACTCGTCGTGTGCATCAGAAAGAAACATTATCATCGGCGCCTGATATTTTCCTAAGGGTCAAAATGTCAGTGTCCGTGCACTATCAGACCGTGCCTTCAGATAATTACACGTATATAGGATAGTGTCATGTGCATAGCTGAATACAACAGAAGCGTCTGTTGATGTACTAGACGTGTAAGCACAGACAGTGCTTTTCAATGAAGCTACATAAACTGTGGCACATGTACTGTGTGTTGGGAATAAATTAAAACACATACACTGATAAGCCACGTGCTAAAAATGAATACTATAGTGTTAGAAGTAAAGAAAAAACCCCTTTCACACACTGAGGCCTAACGGACATAGGTGCTTGCTCTACTCTATAAATTTGTACGTGGACGATGCCGCTCCTCTTTAATTTTTAGAGCATTTCTCGTACCCATGGGCACCAACTCAAAGAAATCAGGAGAGAGGCGAGGAAGGGGCTCCCTCGCCCTTTTACAATTTTCTGGAACCCTCAAGGACATAAGCCCTGTTTAAGTGTGTAATAATAAATTTAATAATAATATGCAGAATGCAAACTGGGCCAGGGATCCACACATGGGACCAGGTCTGAAACAAAGTACCGGCAGTCACCAGTCTACATCATGTATGCATGTAAGTTGTACCCCACCAGCACATCACACAAGCGATAAACACCCGGTGACACAAAGTGCCACCATGCGAATGAGGATCACCCATGGAGAGGTCCCGGAAACCACGTTCAGTCGTTTGGCCATATTTTAGGACCGGCTATATTTAGGACCCCCGGCAAAAGCCAAAATGGGGCTTCAAAATAGCTAAAAATTGCATCCCACAAGGGGATGACGAGATTATTAACCAAATTGTCTACATCACGTGTTTTGACTCCGCATGGCAGTGGCGATGGCTTTAGCTATTTGTAAATAAAGTAAGTAAAGGACTTTTTCCCACTCCTTTAGTCGTAAAGGGCATATATGGCTAGACCTATTTTTTATAGACCAATCGGCACAAGATGAGTGATGGGGTCAGCATCACGCCGGCCGCCTTTACTTCCCGGGACTGCATCCGGTACCCACTCAAGGCTGGGTCGACCTGGGAACCAAGGTCATTTTTTAAAATAGTCCGACTCTGCCAGGGAGCGAACCTACCACTTTCCGATCCGCGGCGAGCGTTTAGCGCTCGGCCACAGCGACTCCCTTTAGCTTTTGTACTTCATTAAATATCTGTTTGTTTCATTTATCAGTTTGCATATAATCATGTTTGTGGAGTCGTCGTGGTGTAGTTCCCTAGACGCTCGCCTGCGGATCGGAAGGTCATGGATTGGGGTTCTGACGAAGCCTAACTTTCCTAAAAAAAAAATAACCTTGGCTCCCAGGTCGATCCGTCTTGAGTGGGTACCAGGTGTAGTCCTGTGAGGTATAGGCAGCCGACGTGATGCTTACCACATCACCAACAAAGTGCCGATTCGTACATAAATATAGGTGTAGCTAAACATGCCCAATACACCTGGAGGAGGGGGAAAAGGTTCTTTACTTTTTACTTTAAAAAAATTATTATTATGTTTAGTTCTGTAAAATTAAGAAGTTTGAACACACTTTCTCTTTCATACTGTTGCCTCGACCCTGATGCTGTAAATGTTCAGTTATTTAGCAAGTTGTCGCAATGGTTGAGTCGGACTGTTTTAGTGTGCAGTGCCAATGTTGCACGTTTTGGTGCTTCCTCAAAATATTATCTTTAAATATGCTTAAGTCTAGTGTCCATCCTCTCTCAGTGTATGTTCCAAGAATGGATAGAAAACAAAACATGCTTGATCGTTACACACACCCCCTCCTCCCCTCCCCCTTCCCACTTCCCAAACACTTCGATGGGGTAACTGGAGAAGAAATGCTCCTGCGAGGAGTGACCACGGGATCTGGTCGACGCTCAGCTCTCAAGGGAAAGGCGGGGCGGATAAACAATCACTCTTAACTGGTACCATCGGAATTTGAACTCTGTGATTGCTGCTGAAGATAGGCACTTGGCGTTTATGACAATGTCCTGAGTCCTGTAATGTGGATTCTTTATTCCAAATTAAACTGGATAAGATGGAGAGCAGGGTGAAGCAGAGCAGGTAGAGAAGAGAGAGGAGATCTTGCAATGCCTCTGAAATGCTCAAGAGTTAACCAACTGGTCAGTACAAGATAATGGCATAAGAGGTTGGCCTGACTGTGGCCTTGACACCATTAAGAGGTGTGTAGAATTGGAGAGCTCCCATTGGCTGGGCCGGGCTTATTTTCTACAATGCTAACGGCAAGTGCCCGATTTTCTACTGCCAGCTGCCCCAGTCAGCAGACGTCAACCCGAGCTGCCCAACATGTCTCTCCTAACTGCCGTCCGCAGACTCCGTGTGGTAATAATGGCATTATGTTTTGTGCTTTAATATTTTATGTGTATGTCCATTTATTAAGTGGATATAGAACGGTGTTTAGCTATTTTTGTTCTTTGGTGTTATTTCTGCGCCATGAAGTTCGTACAGTTTCGCTTTCACAGTCCCATTCCTTACCCTACTGTACTGCTGCAAATTCACTAATGTGGCTTGTTGAGTGAGACTACAGTGCAACACGTTACACGTGTTGATGTCCCGTGTCCCACAGTCGGTTCTTTATGTTTGAGCATTTGTGCATCAGCTGTTTATTAAAAATAAAGACCTCATGCATCTCTGTAGTCTCCCAGTTCATTGAAAAGACTTCGTTTTTTTTGTCCGTCATACATACACACAACTTTAAAGTAATTTATCATTATGAATATAATGACTCGGATAATTAGCACGGCTTGACCTAGTCAACATATATAGCTTCTATTAAAAGTTACTTTGTCCTCATGCTTCACTGTAACATTTTACCATGCATATGCTGTACTTCATTAATTCTTTTATACCCAAGCAGATGCAGTTCTTTATTTAACCATTTTTACCCTGAGCAGTTCAACAGGAAAGCAATACATTATTAGGCAGCTGCGGTAGAATGCAGCAGTTACACCTATTATCTTTGGAATGGCCATGAAACATGTTATTTAATAATATGCATTATGAGTCAAGAATTGACATCTTTGCACTTACCATATTCGTATACACGCTATATCCCCATTTTCAGCAGAAAGCACACAGAGTTCTAATTCTGATGGTACCAGTAACAGTCTGATTGTATATTCATCTCGCCTTTTCTCTGAGTGATGTCAACCAGATCTCCCGGGTTATTCCTTGCAGCAGCATTCTCTGCAGACAGCAATGATCTGTTTGTCCCTTCGCTCTGTTCACTCACTTTGAAAGGATCTTTTTAACATATTTGGCATTAAAAGTTTTAAATTCAAAAGATTAAAAAATGTTTGAACAAATGGCTTCAGAGACAAGACACAAAAACTCATTTTTCAGAACCAACATGAGGTTAAGCATTTATGGAAACCTCCTTGGATGGCAAGGAATGCCAATGATCTGCCTATGCCTTCCCTTGAGGGCTGACTAGTCTACACTAGGTTGCCCTGGGTGGGGTCTCCAGGGACACCTGCAGATAAGAGGGACACCACACAAATAAGGCTGCATCATGTCCCACGAAACCAACTGGGAAGACATGCCCGATGAAGTCGGATGTGTTAGCCAGAAGTTGCAGATATAGCAGCTATGCTGTAAGCAGGCACAACACAGTTACATCACTTGGGCAAAGGAAAATATTATTTACCTTTTATCAGTACTTTCCAGATTTTTTTGGTTACATTCTACTAAACTAATTTTAAGTAATTTCACTCTATCACCTGTACATGTCTGAACTGACTGTTTTTGTTTGTTTTAGCCAGCTATGTATTTTCTTAATAATTATTTTCCATTATATTAGATTTTATAGTATATTTATTATCTCAAGATTGTTAAATTCTTATTCCATTTTTGTTGTATCTTTGAGGTTTGTAAATCATTTTTCTGCAAATTAATCTTCTCACTGAGATATTTTATTATATGTTTGAGCACAAGAACCTGTAGCAATTTTATGTAAAGACTGCAGTTTTATAGTCTATTTAAGTTCCGTTCTTATATTTACAGTTCAGTTTTGCTCCATATTGTATAATAAAATACATTTAACTAAACTTACTAAGAAACAGTTTGGAGTGAAAAATGATAGTTAGGTTCTTTCCCAATATCCTCCCCCAAACAGAGCTAATCTACAGGTCACGGAACAGTATAATATTTCAGGTGGTGGTAGTTGTAGTAATTTGGCATTTTTTTTGCTGTGCAGTTTTATGCTGTTCAGTTTTCACTTTTCTGTGCTTCTGTCTTGGGTGCTGTGCAGTTTTTTGCTTTTTGTGTGTGTGTGTGTGGGTAAGTATGTTGTGGACTAAGTGAAATTGGGAGAATGCAGTTTTGCAATTTTTTTTGGGGGGGGGGGGGGGGGGGGGGGGGGGGAGTGTGAACTTTATGTGCAGGATGCCTTGCCAGTGGCGGTACTTTAGGGGTGGCCCTAAAAATGCATGCTGTTGATTTTATAAATGGACGTAGGCTGCACACTCTCGTAGGATGTAGGTGGGTTGGGGTTAGGGCCAGTTCTGGATGTTTTCGGTTCGTTAAAAGTGCTCACATCATAGAATATAGAGCATAAGATATCGTGGGCAACTGACACCATTGAATAACAGACAGTGTCATTCTAGATGTATACTGCTGAGTTCACAAATTGACAATCAGAACAATTGTACGCATTACTATATCTGGAGAAATGTCAGAATGCGGCAACTAGTGCAGCAACACCAAAGACGACAGACTATTGTTCTGGTGGCTGGCATGTAACAATGTCCGCCAGAATGGTTACGAACAGGTCACCTAACCTTAACCTTAAACATAAACCCTAACCCTGCACGTTTGTACTATGCAGAATCTCATGATGTTGCAGGAAAGCAGTGCTGCTCTTGTCAGGCAATGCTTTCACACACATAGAAAGCCAGGGGCGACAACCTAGGCAACACCTTTATATATTCAGAAAGCTGGGAAACACAAAACCCAGACAATGGGAAACTCGATCTCACCACCCTCTAAAATATTGGACTGTCCTGTGAACTCATCTGGGGTAGGATATTGGAAAAGACCAAACGGAAAATTAACAGGTGACAGAACAGTCTTATATTTCAGGGAGTGGTAGATGTAGTAATTTGACGTTTCATTTGCAGTGCTGTTCAGTTTTCACTTTTCTGTGCTTCCGTTTTGTTTGCTGTGCAGCTTTTGTGTGTGTGTGTGTGTGTGTTGTGGACTCTATATACAATCCAGTGGATGTTGTTTTCTTTATTTGTGTGTGTCTTGCTGGGAAGGAGAATGCAGTTGTGCAAATTTTTTTTTTGGGGGGGGTGTGGGGTCTAAACTTATATGCAGCCTACACAATTTTGTGTGATTCCCCAAGAACAGTTAGACACCCAAGAAAACAATATAAGTATTAATATTGCCACATTCTGTGTTATAGTCTGTTCCAAAGGTTGTGCCCTCAAACTTTATCAAATATCGTGAAACTCCTTTGGGGATCAACATCTTAGATTTCTTATGTCCTTATAATTTTATCATTGACAGTTGCACATGTGCTACTGTTTTCTTAAAAAACAGATTTCTTTGATCTTTTTCAGACTAATAATTTGTATACCTCTAAAAAAATAGAATTTACACTGACACAAAAGATACTTTTTTTTGGGGAAATCATTTCCCATTTGCATTAATGCAGGGTTATTATTTTAAAAGCCTATCCTGCATACAATTAAATATTGTGTTCATGTAACTCACGGGAGGCTAATACTGAAGATTGACTACCTGAGAGTGAAATGCCTATGAACTGAGTTACACTTATGTGAGATTTTGACAGTACATGACATATCCAATTCACTATTCAAAATAAGTGCATCTTGTGTGGATTACCTCTAAAACATGTGCAATTTCATGTTTTGCTGTAAACTTTAACAGTAAACATGCTTTTTTTATGCTTTGAAGGAGTGTCTGTTTTTTTCATATACCACAAATAAGGCCAAATTAAAAACTGGATGTTTGTTTACATTACAATTAATTTCCTATAAGGACATGATTATTAGCAGGTTGCATGCTAAATTTAAACAATTTATACCAAACAGTTACTGAGTTGCAGATTTTTTAATTTGGGCACAACTTTTGGTACAGGCTTTAATAACCCCCCACCCCCATTATTTTGATGAAAATGCTGTTAACTCGAAATTTGCTATGTTCATAAATTCTTACTGCTAGTTAAACCTGTGAAGAACTTTTGACCTTTGATAAGAAGCACATTACTGTCACCTGAGGACTCATAGTTGGGTGTTTATGGCTGGACCGGGCGGCTGATTCTGTGTGACCTTATAACAGTACTTGAAAACACTTGACTTTGCTAGGTTTGGCAAATATTGACAGCTGTCTTGGTGATTAGATTAGAGAATCCTATAGAATGCTACTAGAAGCTTTTGGTCAAGATTAGCATCATATTTGAGAATTCTGTTATCCAAAAGTTGAAGGCCTATCATTTACTTCCTAAAGATGTTACTCTAGGATTTGATTATACTGTAAAAAACACAACTACTTTACCAATCGTCTTTTAATGATCTTTATGACCCAATGAAGCATACTCAAGCCATCTTTTTTATGGGAAGGTTCTTCTTCTTCTTTCCTCTACTCCTGGAATGCCTGACAGCATCAGGTCTGGAAGATATCTCTCCTGGAATGGGCCCTTCTGTTTGCTTCATGTATAGTAATTTTCAGTGTATCTGATATTTCTATGGTCCATCTTCTGCCAGGTCTGTCTGTCTGCCTGTCTGTCTGTCTGTCTGTCTGTCTGTCTGTCTGTCTGTCTGTCTGTCTGTCTGTCTGTCTGTCTGTCTGTCGATGTATCTGTGTAGCATTACTCTCTGTGGTGCCCTGTCTGATGCCAATCTTATCACATGGCCAAACTATTTGATCTGTTGTCTACTGATAAAGTTCAGTATTGGTTCTGTGCCGACTCTCCTCCTGATAGGAAGTTTATTTCCTGTATGTCCTTAGCAAATTTTGCCTCTGTCTAATTTTGTGTGTGTTTTAGGTTTCCTGTCTCTTTCCCACTTGGATTTCTATGAAATAACATTCTTGTTATGCAGTTGTCATAATATTCTGTTACATATAATGCTTTATCAGTTATGGTTCCCAGCCAGTGAGTAGTGAGCTCTTTGAAAATAGAGAACTGTAATTTGATGGGAGCCTTGCTTCAGTTGCTACAAGTAAAATTTATACAAATTATTGAAGTAAGTCAAAAAGTAAAGGACCCCTTTTCCACGCCTATGGGCATATAGGGTTAGACCTGTATTTTATAGACCAGTCAGCACTTGGTGGGTGATGTTGTAAGCATCACGCTGGCTGTCCCTACTTCCCGGGACTGAATCTGGTACTTATTTAAAAGCTGGGTCAATCTGGGAGCCAGGGTCATAAAAAAAAAAAAAATCTGGCTTTATCAGGACCTGAACCCTACGACCTTAACAATCCGCCGGCAATCATCTAGCCACAACACACAGCTGCTCTCCAGATTGTTGAAACTAGAATAACATTATTTCATGGATAAACTTTAAATTAATTAAAAAAATTTGTGGTCACACCAAAAAGGGTGAATGGTGCATTGCGCTGCATTTTGCAGCTGTCCTGCAGTACCTGCGTCTTTTGGCCCAGCACATCTAATTTGAGCCTTAATTAGTCACCTTTTGGCAACGTGCTTGCTGTGACAGTAGATGCCCCCAACTCCCCCTTTTTGTGTGGTTACAATGAACTCACATGGTTGCACATTGTATTAAAACTAGAATAAAATTATGTGTTGCAGTTCGCTAACTAAAGAAAAAATATTGTAAACATTCAATATGAAATGCATCTTTACTCCATTTAAATTGTATTTTTTGCAGATGTGTTTATTATAAAATTGATTATGAGTTGAGCAAACAAACAGGGTTCATTGTTACTTGACTATTATCCAAAAGCATTGTGACTTGATAAAGAATGGGAAATACTGATTTGGACTGATCCAGTTTTAAATGCTTCTCATGTCAGTATGGCAAAATAACTGTTATAGAAAACATGTTTGGTCAGGTAAATTGATATAGTTAGGATCTCACAATTTTTCACATGTTTTCTCTGTGAAATTTGCAGTAATAATTGCAACTGTCCATCATGAACATTACTTCCATCAGTGAATCTTTAAATCCTTGAAATTTTGCATTACAGTGGTCACCAATCACTATGTGGCTAATTATTAACATTCTTCTTAACACTCTTAGTTTTTAAATCTATATGAAATATTGATCAGTCACTGTAATGCTGACAATTATATAATTGTTCTAGGACTAGTTGTTTGTTTACTAGTTTTTCAAATGCGGCAGTGAGGAACATTTAATTTGATTTGCACTGGCACAGGAACGGAGTAAGTATGGGGAAACCTGACTGCAGTGGAGTTGAAACCTCGACTAAGACTAATGCTGACAATTGGTGGCTAATTAAAAATCATCATAATTCCCTTTCTCTTTCAGCTCCGTGTTGAGTGTAGAGTAAATTTATAGCTTTCCGCTTCTGGCTTTTTAAATATTAAATAATTCCTAACATTTTTAAAATCTGTTATCTTTGAAGAATATACTGCAGTAATTGTAGTTTTCACCATTTGGTTAATTGTCAATATAATTCTCATTCTTCAGTATTTTTATATTTGACTGTTAAATTTGACAAAGGATCCATTGCAGTGCCCTAGCTACCACACTTGCCTAGGTATGCATTCAAATCCACTGGAAGCTGGACTTTTTTTCAGTGATTTGTCTTACTGGTTCACCCACCTTGATATGTCTACATCTTTATCACATACTTAAATAACCAACACCACACAAAGTATATAACTACTGGTAAATTCTGTTCCAACTACACAGCAGAGATCCTTGCACTAGAGCAGGCTGAAAAAATATTACCCAACACGAGTTCTGAGTGCCCCCAAGTGGCCATCTTCACAAATGTGCTGACACTGCTAAAAGCCCTCAATAGTGGTAAACTCCCTTACCTGAGATCTGAACTGAGCAAGGTGGCTGCACAAAAGCGTACTGTACTCCACTGTGGTATACCAGGAAATGAAACCGCGGATAAACTTGGAAGGGGCAGAATGTAAACTGGAAGACAATGAAGTAACATACTTTGAGAAGAAAAGGGCCATACAGTCTATCAGAAGTGAACAGAATCTGACGCGATGACTACCAGTTACTTGACCAGCATGGGCAGGTCATCAATCTACGCCTCAGGAAATAACACTCTTAACAAGCATATGCACAGATTTAGTCTAAGTAGTTCACCATTGTTTCCCTGTGGGCTGTGTGTGCAAACCGAAGAACATGTCTTGCAAGAAAATCCCCTTTAAGAACGGAATACTGACCCATTGAATCAAAACTTTAAACAAAGTTGTTTAGAAATAAGGGAACTCCTGAAAACAGTCAGTTTTTTCACAAGAACTCGTCTGTCGCTGTAAATCAGAAAGCAATCACAAGAAGAGATATGGGTACCAGGAGTATATGTGACTGGTGTGTCGACCTCATCACACATCATGTGCTTATTGGTATAACAGTTTGCTAGCACCAGATACCCAGTATGTTCGGGGCATGTAAAAGAGTCCTTTACTTAAAAGACTTTGCTAGAAGTTGTTTGTCATCAAAATCAGTTTATCTGTGATTCATTTTGGCTTTTTCTTTTTTTTTGGTTGTCTCTCTCTCTCTCTCTTACTCTCTCTCTCTATGTTAAATTAGTTTGTTTTTTTAATTGTTGTTGAAATTGTATATCAAGTTTGTAGTTTAGATTTGTCATCCTGCAATATCTGAAATTTAAAAATGTGCATAGACAGGGCTGTTTTTGTTTTTAAAAAAAACTTGTTGGTACTGATGACAGTATGTCGAAAAAGGTGTTGGTAGTCACCACAGTGTTTGTAGTATTGGTGGGGAAAAAAATGCCTAAGAAAGAAAAAGGTGCTGGTTCTGCCTACCGTTGCCTAACACCAGAATTTTTAAAAAAGCTAAGTCCATTCATATTAATACATTTATATTTTTCAGGTGGGCAACAATGCTTTCTATTTATCAAGATGTGCTTCTTCTGTTGTGAGTATTGCTAATTATTTTTCACTTAGAGAATTTATAGATTGTTTAAGCCAGGCATGGCGGTCCATTTGTCACATGCAGCACTTTGCAAGCACTGCGGTAGCCCACACACAGAACATATTTTGCATTAATTTGTATTAAAGGACTTCAATTAGTTGTGTGTGGCATGATAACATAATTTGACCCAGTTTGACAGACCTGGTTTAAATATATTCTTTTCTTCTGCCTTGTTTTCTTAATTGGAGCAAAACCATGCCATTGTTTGTCTTTGGCAGCTCCCTGGATATTCGGCCTGTATTATTTATTATGTGCCATGTCTGTAGGTATAGCTGGCTGGAGTTATTCATCTTGCATACATTTCTCAGATCTTCTTCTTTGCGTTCACCAGCTGAAAACTCTGGACTTCTGGACACTGGTCTTGTTCCAGGACCAGAGTTTTGCTTATTAATTGTGGGCACTAGGTCTGTTTTTAATTTCCCCCCCCCCCCTTTTTTCCCCCACAATAGTTCCCCCTCTGGAACCCACACAGTGAAGTCTCCGATCAGGTTTATGTTGTCTTGTCTATGCCATGTGTTTAGGCCATCTAGATGTTTTTGTTTGTCGCCCCACTCTTCTTTGCCATCAAGTCTGCCAGCTTTCAAGTTTATTTCTCCTCAGAACATCTGTTGATGGTTTTCGTGATTCTTTGAGGATTGACTCATTTGTTTCTGTCTGCAGTATTCATCTGTCTCTCCTCCTATTCTTCTTCTTCGCGTTCACCGGCTGTAAACTCCGGTGGAAAGTTCTGGTTGTTCCTCCACCTCTGGGCTTTAGACTTGTTCTAGAACCTGAGTGTTGCGTGCACATCCGTTTTACAGGTTTGACTTATTTGTATGCAGACTATAGCTTCCTTGCCTCTCAGGCAGATGCACTCTGACTACCAAGGATCATCTGCCTCTAATTCTCATATCTGTGTATTATTATTTGTAAGTCTTCTAGTTACAGTATTCCAAAAACTGGATCTCATCTAACAAAGACGAAAGTTTTTAATATTACTCAGAGAAATGGAAACTGAACAGAAATGATAAATGTCAGCGTAGACTCAGACATAATGTTATAAAGCTAATATTCCGTATTGTATTCATAGTACTTCTTGGGGCCTTAGAGATGTGGTTTTACAAAAGAATCCATAGAATTCATTGGACAACCAAAACGAGCAATTCAGATGTTCTGAAAGAGGCAGAAGCTCAAAGAGAACTTATCACAAACATCAGACATTATGAAAAGAAAACTGGAACATGTTGTGACCACTGGAAAGATCTGTGGAAAAAAAAGAGAGAGGAAGACAATGCCAGAATTTTCATTACAGCTTGTTGTCATAACATGGAGAAATGTCAACACACAAAGTGATGCGTTCAGTTTATCACATATTGTGGAGAGGCCATGATGGCCCACATCACCGGCAAGACATTTGATGATGAATCATAGCCATGCAATTCGTGTAGGGTCACAAATATTCATTCTTATATTTGTTAGATAACTCATATTTACTATGTCATTTATACTTACCTTATGTATTTTCAGCCTACAACCAAAATGTTTATCAACAATGAATTTGTGGAGTCAAAAACGAACAAATGGATTGATCTTCATAATCCTGTAAGTAGACATGTTTATTTTCAGTGAACACCACAGCTTTGTGTTTATTTTGATTTGAGTATTTAAATATTGAAGAGCTGTATAGGTTAGTTACTTTATGGACCTTGTGAATGTGTTTGCTTATTGCATATTGAATATAGTGAATAATCAAGCAGATGTAATGCATTTATCCTAGCAATAAATATGTGACCATAGGAAATCAAGAGATCAGGCATGAATGGACTGCATGAATTGAATAAAATCAAGATCATTTGCAAACACCTCTCCCCCCAACACACACACACATACATGCCCGCGCACTACACACAGAGTTTGGTTTATAACAAATGAAATTAAACACCATTCAAGTAGGAAAAATGCTTTAAATGAATTTTTCTTGTACAAAAAAATATTTCAAGCGTGTCACTCTTACAGGACCTGAAGAATTGATAGAATACATTTTCTGCATTTTGATAAGCATACATCGTACTCATGCATAAAAGCATACATTTTATTTTCAATTTATCTGGGTTTTTTTTTACCAGGCCACAAATGAAGTGGTAACCAAAGTCCCAGAATGCACCAGGGAAGAGCTAGAGTCAGCTGTTGCTGCAGCCAGGGATGCTTTTCCAGCCTGGTCCAGGACCACTGTTCTCACCAGACAGCAGATTATGTTCCGGTTACAGGACCTCATTAAGAAAAACATGGTAGGTCTACATGATTCCTTGGAGGTTCACTTGCATTTAATCAAAACCATTATTTCCATTTAACCCTTTTGCTCCGTGGACGCTAAAAAATGGGTCGTGAACCCAACAAATTCCTTTTTAATTAAACAAAACCACCATTTTACACAGGTCACAATTTTTTTTAAAATTTATTTATTCATCTACATTTCCTTTCTTTGAAATAAATGAAGAGATGTAAAGGGAGTAGTCAGTAAACACAAACATCAGCAGGCCCAGCAAAAAATGTTGCTCTCTTCACGGCACACCTAAAAGTCTTATCTTTCTCTAGCCATGTCTCCAGCCCAGTGTGCTTTCCTAACCAGTAAATCTTAAGTGTCTTGTATCCATTCTACCAGGTCGGCCTCTGCCTTGTTTTCTTGAAATTGCACCTCTATGACAGTTCTCTCCATGCGACTGTGAACATAATGAAGATTAAATGGAATACATTTCCTGGGACTTTAAAAAGATATCAGGAGACTTACAGGAACATTTTAACTTGTCTTTATGAATGTCATTTGGTTTGCATGGTGGTTCTCCCCACCCCCTTTTGAATGCTATGTTTTTAGTTAATATTTTCATATCTGGGCCTTCTACACTGCGCAAATGCAGATAGAACCATTTGCAGAGCATATGTCACAGCTGTTCTGTAAACAGGCAGACTGCAATTACATCTTCGGATGAACGCAGAAGAAGAAGAAGTAGAACCGATGGCATTTTTGAAAACAGCAGAAATTTACGCCCTTGTTTGTATGTGATATACGTAAGGGACATGTTTCTGTTTGTCTTTTTGTTCCTCTCCCTACCTTCCCCCTCATTCTTTTCCCACCCCTTCCTGTCTCTTCCTCATTCCCCCTAGACCCCCCACCCCCCGGGTCTCTTTCTCTTTTACATATGTTGGTACAAGTAGTTCACACCCCTATAGCAATATCTGCTTTATAATTACTAAATACCTGAAACTAAGACCAGGTCCTTTTATTAATTTGTGCTGGAAAACAATAATGGACTAGGGTTTGTTAACAGGGGAATGACTTTTCTTCCTTGATACAAAAATCAACAGTTTTTGGTGTACAAAATTCTACATTTATTTTTGTTGACTGGCTGTAAGTTCCAGCGGAAAGTCCTCGTTGTTCACCCACTTGGACTTTTGCTTTGTGCCAGGGCCTGAGTTTTGCATGTACATCCATTTTACTGGCTTACTTGTGTGCAGTTGGTTGTTCCTTGCTGCTTGGCCAGTTGCACCCTGACTTTGACCGAAGCCCCCAGCTAGTTGAATACAGTCATGTCATCTACTTCTGGCCTCATAACTCTCCACATCCCAGATTCCAGCCTGACTTTCTTGTGACTCTATTTCCTGTAGATCCATTGCCCCAAGTCTCATGTCCGGTAGTAAAACTTTCCTTAAGTTTAGCAACAAATCCCTCATTCCTGCTGATGATGTTAACTGGAGCTTGGGGGGAGGGGGAGTAAGGCTTATATTAAACGTTGTTGCGACTGTTGGAATTTGGGATGTGGAGAGTTATAAAGCCAGAAGAAGATGACATAGTTATATTCAACTAAAAGAGGGGAAGCCTTATTACAAATTTTCAAAAACAGTCTTACAACAAATCTTTAGACCCATTGAAGATGCAAAAAGCGAGGAATGGAGAGTGAGAAGCAACAACAAAATTCCTAGTCTGTTTAAATAACCATTGATCACTGGCATCATGAGAGCTAATAAACTGGAATGGTTGGGACATACTGAGAGAACATCAGATGACAGAGAGGTAAAAACTGTATACACAAGTAGCTAAATGGTCGTAGACCATGAGGCTGACCAAGAAAAACGATCAAGAGATAATGTCTAGACAGACCTGCAAACACTTGGTGTTAATTGGAAAGAGAAGGCCAACCAGAGAGATGAATGGAGGTGGATGATATCTCAAGTCTGCAGCAGTGAACCTCAAGGGGTCAGAATGCTGAAGAAGAAAAAGGCTTATATCAGAAGCATTCTGAAAAATCAAGCTTATATTTAGGGTATATTTTATTTTCATGGAAACACAGTACATGTACAGTTCTGACTTTTAACATATATACATGTTTGAGATATTGTCATCTTTCCTTTCTAAACAGAAACGTTTAGCTGCTAATATAACTGAAGAACAGGGTAAAACACTAGTGGATGCTGAGGGGGATGTCTTAAGAGGATTACGTAAGTGGTTTTGTTACATGCATTTGAAGGAAGCGAGCTCTGCTGTATCGGTTTTCATTATGTATTCTGTGTGCATTGCTAGTTTTGTTGCAAAGATGAAACTTCATGCAAACCCATAGTTGCTCAGTTTCACACCATCATCATCCTTTTTTGCTGTTGTATGTCAAGTTGATTTCAAGTCTATTATTCCATTCTGTTCAGTCCCAGCAATTGTTAGTTGGACTTAGCAGATGATATTTAAAAAGAAAATGTTTTTTATACAGACGATTTACATGTACACATTTGAGTTCTCCTTTTTCCTCCTTTTCCGTGACTCATTTTATTATATCACTTGCCAGGTCATCATCTAAGGATTTGATTTATATTTCAACACTGTCTAGGTGCTTGTCCTGCCAGCATATAAACTCTTGGAGCCATTGTCGTTTGTTAGTCTTGTGGTCATTAGTTTTTAGAATTGCTGGGGGGTCTCCGTGGTTGAGTGTTCACCTTATGCTCTGAAGGTCATGAGTTTGTTTCATAGTGGTGCTGTTTGGTTCACAAAGTCGATTTTTACGAAGATCCTTAGGGATCTTTGCTGGAGACATAGAGTTCATGCTTTGTGTGACTTTCTCGGCAGACACCTGGCTGTTCTGGGGAGAGAGATCGATCAGTATAAGCTGTCCATGCCTGTGCAATTGTGCCAATTTCAGATTCATCACCATCCATTAACCCAGTCTGTACAGCATTGATGATATCTGCTGTCTCCATACTTTCTCCCACATGTGTTGGTGCACCGCTTTCCATTGATCCGCTCATTCCTCTTTAACCTGTACAACTGTAAGGGTTCTCAGGTCAGTCTGGACTAGAAATTGTCATGTGTAATGTCATGCGAAGTAATGGGGTCAGTGATGTAAAATTGACCACACTACTCAACAACTGCTAATTGGTCTAAAACTGTGGGGCTAGCATCAGATACCTAATGTTCCTCAAAGCATGAGAATGAGATCTTATATATATATATATGGCCAGAGTCATCCTAGAGATAGGGAACACAGTAAAATAAAATGGATTTACACACAAAACTCAGGTCCTGGAACAAAGCCAGAAGTCCAAACGGATAAACAACCAGGACTTTCCGCAAGAGTTCATAGCCGAAGAAGATATATATATATATATATATACACACACACACACACACACACACACACACACACACACACGCACGCACGCACGCACGCACGCACGCACACACACACACGTGCGCGCGCACACACACACACACACACACACACACACGTGCGCGCGCACACACACACACACACGTGTGCGCGCGCGCGCACACACACACACACACACACACACACACACACACACACACATGTGCGCGCACACACACACACATGAAACTCAGGCCCTGGCACAAAGCCAAAGTCAAAATGGACGAACATCCAGAAATAACCTCGGGAGCTTACATCCGGTGAACAAAGATGAAGAGGAATCCTAATTTATGGGATCAAAATTCATGCCGACACTGCTAAAGAACATTTTGTAACCATACACGCACCTATAAATCACACCCTACCTCTGTTTTAATTGTTGAAATATTATTTAATTTCTTTTCTGTACTCTTTAACAATGTTTATCTTTCAGAGGTTGTTGAACACTGCTGTAGCATCACTTCCCTACAGCTGGGAGAAACTTTACCTGGCATTGCTAAAGACATGGACACATTTACATACAGGTTACCTATAGGTGTCACTGCTGGCATTACACCTTTCAATTTCCCAGCCATGATTCCATTATGGGTGAGTATGCAAAAATATTTAAGAAGAAAAGTGCATTAATATAAGTTGCCTTTCACTCTTTGTTGAAATTCCAGTGTTTTGTAGCCTTGTAGATTTTGTTTTGAATAAAGCCAGTCTCACAAGTCATCAAAGAACAACAAATGAAGTGGTTTGGACACCTAGCCAGAATGCCCTGATACTATCTGCTACAGCAAGCCACACTAAAACGTTATAACGGGTATAGAGCAAGTGGAAGACTCGGAAAAGATGGAGTGATGGCATTAGCTCAACAACTAATTTTACCTCTTTCCCCAAACTTCGCTGAGGTACAAGGTGTAAAAGAAGAAGAAGTAGATTTTGTTACTTTCCTGTGTGGTAAAGATTGAAATAGCTGTTCATTGAAAAAATTCTCAATAGATTAGTGAATGGTAGTATTTTTTTGGCCTACATTATTTCAGTTTTGTCTTGTTTTATGGTCTCTAAGCATTTCGCAGAATAGAAGTTAAGATGGCAGAAGTTTCTGTTGAATCTATGTATAGAATTAGAGAAATTGCCCTGAAACACACACAAAAATGGAGAAAGAAAGGTATATTGTGTGCTGGGTATACTGAGTACCAGCTCGTAATATAACAAAACAGAAACAAAGTGGCAACCAGTAATAAGCCAGCAAACACATAACAAAAAGGATTAAACAAGAATAATTAATGTAGGAAAGCTATGAACAGAACGTAAAAATAAATGAAAAAAGAACATACAACATTTGACCTTGTGGATGTTTGCTGTTTAGTGAACCAAATATAGTTAGGGCAGGGAAGAGGAAGTAAAAAAAACTAGAACACAATTTATATAATTTAATCATCTTTGACTTCAGTGAGAGCTTTTCATTGCTAAGTGAGTGATTGTCACCTCTGACCATCCAAATGTTTTTATTTTGACGCTAAGTGATTTCCTGGTTTTTTTTTTTTAAATTTATTTTATAATTGATACTATGATAGTCAGTAAGGGAATATATTAAAATTATGACCAAGAAAATAGAACATTTTGTATCAGATACTAGTCTGGAATACTGACCTCCTGTCATAAAGGAATAGATATACTGGCTGCACATATTGACTTCACATTCATTGAACATGGCTTCATTTGAAATTTATGTATATTTGTCAGTTGTTGTTTGTAATTGTTGTAATATTCAGATGTCATCCAAAGCAGCAGTGTGTGACCAGCATAAAGTGCTAGCATTATTTTGCTTCAGTTTGTGTGTATGATTGCTCCAATATCTAGATAAATGCCTAATGTGAAACTCTGACATTTATTTGTTGGCCTCATTTGTTCTTTATAATTGCTCCAATACACAGATGTTCCCTATGGCTGTAGTATGTGGCAACACCTCAGTTATGAAACCATCAGAGCGAGATCCAGGTGCAACTTTGATCCTCATGGAACTTTGTCGGGAAGCTGGTCTGCCGCCAGGTGTTGTTAATGTCATCCATGGCCGTCATGACTGTGAGTATTGCTGCTCCGTTTTATGAAAATTGATTTGTGTGGGTGTGTGTTTATTTGTTTTTGACACTTTCTTCCTGTTAACACTTTAAAAAACAAGGTAATGAGTGTGTGCAAATTCCAAGAAAAATAACCAGGCGAAACATTTGTATATAATTTGCTAATAAATTCTTGAAAAATATATTTATCAACATTTTGAAAGTATTTTGTGAAATATTTAAAAGTATATGAAGATGAGAGGTAACCACTAAACATGATCAGGGTGAAGAATTAATTAGAATACGTCCCATGGGGCTTAAAAACACATGCTGTGACCTTTATCACTGAGGCTTATGATAAAATTGGGCGTCAGCTTGGCTTTTAAAAAAAGCCATTTAACACAAAGGATCTCCCTCCCCTTCCCTTCCCTTTTCCCCAGTGCCATTATTAGTTAATATGGTTGTTTACTGACCTCCTATACATTTTCTCAGGTATGAACTTTGCCAATAGCATTAACTATGCGTCTTAAATAGTTAACATGGACATGTCGGAAAAGTGACATTTACTGGGAATTGAACTCAATTGAAAATATTGATGTTCAGCTTCTTGGGACAAAACAGTTAAATCGTTTCTGTTTCGGAAGTTGCCATCTTTCCTTACACAATAATTGTACAAATTGTCTAGTACTAATTTTTATAAGCCTGGGATGATCTCATCGCTGTTCTGGTCAGAAAAAAAAAAATTATGCTGTTTCTAGAGATTGAAATCGGACCACTGTCTGACAGTGGAGTCTTGAAAAAGCAGAAAGACATTACAAGCATGTTACTTTGATAAGATGCTAGCTTACTGCATGAGTTTTTATATGTTCTGCAGAGTCGCATGTTAATCAGTTACATCACTCTTTGCGCTTTAAGTGAACTGGTAATAATTTATAATGGTCACCTCTGGCACACTAAAATTAGAATACAAATGTTGAACCCTTCTGTCTCAGAATTTGTATTTAAAAAATCCAAGTCCCTGGATTTTGCCAGGCAAATTTGGGTCATTCTGAAACCATAATAATTAGTCTCAGAATTCCTATGAAAAAATCCCCTAAATTCAGGTAACTTCTGGAAGGGTAAAGGTGAGAGGATCAACTTTATTGCACCGGGTTTTATTCCATATGGCTCAGCCTGACTCTGCAGAACAGCTAGCTGCCTGTCGAGAGCGTTGCATAGAGTACGATCTCTGTAGCTACGGCAACGATCTCCAGAATTCTTTGTAAAAATTGCACTCGTGAACTAAATGGTGCCACTGTGAAACGAACCCACGACCTTCAAAAAGGGAGCAAACAGCTTGACCATTTCTCACTGAAGACCACCTGGTCATTCTGAAAGTTGAATGTTAAATTTATAATCGACATCTTAGCACTCGGGACAATCCCATAAGTGCTCAAGCTCCATCTTCAGCAGCAAGCGAAGAGTTCCAATTATGATGGGACCAGTAACTGTCTGATTATTCTGAAAGTTTAATGTTTAACACTGTATCAGTAAATCCTAGCTAGCCTATTCAGCATCCTAAGAAGTTATATTTAGGGCACTCATAAGGCTACACTAAGTATTAAGCCGGGTTCCCTGCTGGTCTGGGTGGGTAAGGATAATTATGTATTCATACTCCTTGAGATATCAAACTGAACAATCAGTGATTACTTGTGGACATGACACCTGAACAGTGCTGCTTCTTTTATTCTTGCGATTGGCAAGGCTTGTAACTCTCAGGTTAGAAAATATTATAAAATCCAGTGGGCCCTGATTCATCATCATCATCAAATGCCTTGACAACTGGCGTGGGCGATCATGCCTCTCCCCAATATGTGATCTTCAACAGCATGTATCAGGTCGTGTGTTGACACCGCTCCATGCCATTATTTATTTAAGGCTGTCAAGAATTGTCTCATGTTATCCTTCTTGTTTCTTTTCCCACAGATCTTTTCAGTGGTCACAGCATGTTTATCTCCTTTTTCTTATAACATGACAAAAAATGCAGACTGTCTCTTTCTGATGTTTGTGATAAGTTGTCCTCGAGCCCATATCTTTCAGAACATCTGGGTTGCTCATTTTGGCTGTCCAAGAAATAGACCATGATTACACCCAACAATTACTTAACTCCATCACTAGACACAGTCATGATCACCTTGCCTCAAACCCTCAGTTGCTATTTTTAGTAATATAATTATGCTTGGTCCATCTAAACACCACTGGCAGTATAAATTGTACAGAACCAATAAATATTCCCCTTGGAAGCTAATTCAGTTTCTAGGGATATGTAATGGATGTCAAAACTGATATTTTGATTTTTCTGGGTGAAAGGCTTAAAATATATTTAATGTGTAAAGAGAACAGAGTGTAGAAGTGTCACACCATATTGCAATGTCATATTCATGAGGCTTTTTGCATCTGGACTCACCTGTGTACAGTTTAGTATTTTTAATCTAAGAGATGAGAAAATGCATATACCTTAAATATGTAATTATCTTCTGTTTGAGTACAATTTTGTTTGGATTTGAGGTCTACAACATTGAGGCAGTAATCACCCCCCTCCCCTCCCCCCTTTCCCGATGCAACAAATTGACTTAAGCTTCTAGGCTCCCAGGTTAACCCAGTCTAAAACTGTTACCAATTAATTTTGGGGGAAGTAAAGATGGTTGGCATGATGTTGACCACATTACCCATCAGTGCCGATTGTTCTAGAAAAGTAGGTCTAACGCTATATGCCCCTTGTACCTTTGGGATGAGAAAGGTATTTAAAATTTTGATTTGTTTGTTTTCCTCAGCTGTGAACTTTATCTGTGATCATCCTGATATCAAAGCTATTTCATTTGTAGGATCAGATCAAGCTGTAAGTAATCATGTAATCTAAATGTGAAAATTCAAATCCACAGTGAAGATTAATCATCATCATCTTCGTCATCATCATCATCAGATGGCGAGGCTATGTTATCATGATCGACATGACTGAACATTGAGCATTCCCAAGTGTTCTCAGTCCTGTGATGTGATGCGGCAGTCACTCCAAATTACCTCACTTGATTGTTCCTATGAGGAGCAGGTTAGAATGTCTCCTATCTCAGCCTCGAAGGGGGTATAGACGTGCTTCACATTGCTCGATTTCCATGCCACACAATTGTGGCAATGAGAGATTCATCACTATCTACTATGCCAGTCCCACAGCATTTACATCTGCTCTGTCCATCCTGTCTCCTACATGTGTTGGTGCACCGCTTGCCATTTGGTCTGCTCACTCACTATCTTTCTTGCCGGCTGGTTGGGTGTCTGTATTTGTTGTGTCTATATGTGACTATAGAATGATCTTCTGACAACAGTCAGGGATCTTGATACTATGACCCACTACTATTTGTTGGCCGCTTTCAAGCTCAGTCTGCCTCCTGCAGATTATATGAAAGCATTAGGAGATGATTCAGTCAGTCAGTCAGTAGCATGTCCTTTGCAGAACCTTGCTCCCATGACAACCCTCTGGAAACCTTTTTGATTACAAGCGTCCGATACACCCATCTGGAGATCATCTGTCACATCCTACATCCATCTTCTCTTTAGCCTTCCTCTTCCTCTCTTCCCAGGCATATACCCCTCCATTATTGTCCTCTCCAAACTTTTGTGACATTTCAAATGGCTAGATGATTAGATGAAAGCATAATTTCATTCTGATGATTAGATATAATGCATTCATACTGGGAACATGATGGAAGGATAAGCAAAGTGTCCTGTATATCAAGCTATCTTTTCCCTGTGGGCTCTGCGGCTCCATTGTGGGGGGAAACGAACAGACTACTGCCTCCCCAGAAAAGCATGTCATAAGAATCGACTAATTAGGGGCTTCCTTAGAACGTGGAGTGCATCTGCCTGAGAGGCATACAGATAAGTCACAACTGTAAAAATGGATGTGCATGCGGCGCTCAGGTTCTGGATCAAGAATCAAGTTTAAAGGCGGATGATGAACCAGAACTTCCCACCAGAGTTTACAACTGGAGACCGTGAAGAAGAACGAGAACCTGTCTTAATTATTGTTATGTTTGGGTCACTAGCCCCATTAAAACAGATTATTCAGGAGCAAGCCAATAAGTTTTACAGAAAAGCATTACAGTGGCAGCAATAAATATTCATACCACTATTAACAGATGTATCAGGATCAGACTTAATGACATTTACAATTCAGTGTTAGTCTTACTTATGTGCTTTATTTAAAAATTTTGAAAATGTCTTGTAGAGTTACTGCAAGAGTTCTGGCTGTTTAAAGCTAACTCTAACCTTCTCACTCATGCCTTATGAGACTTCATTGTTGATTTCTGGATCTGTTTCACAGTGCCTTTAACCTGTATGTAACAGATGTGTTTCTTTTTGCTAATATTGGCATTTGAATGTTATCCCTCTTTAAAAAAAAAAAAAACTGCACAGTCTATTCTCTATGCTATAACATCTTAGTATGAGTCTTCATGTAACACTTAAGTGAACATATTTTGTATTCTTCATCTTCTTCGCATTCACCAGCAGTAAACTCTGACGGAATGTTCTGGTCGTTCGTCCACTTATGGACTGCAGTCCTGTTCCAGAACCTGAGTGTTGCGTGTGCATCAGTTTTACAGATCTGACTCTTTTGTATGCAGACTGCTGGTTCCTTGCCTCTCAGGCAAATGTACTCTGACTTCAAAGGAAGCTCCCAATTAGTCGACTCTTACGACATGCTTTTGGGTAGGCAGTGAGTATTCTGTTTTCCCCACAATAGGGCCCCGGAATCCACACAGTGAATATTTTATATTGTTTTTGTTACACATTCATATTTTCTACTACACTACATGGTGTAATAGTAACACATTCTTAAATTGTTTTTTCTTCAAAATCAGGGCCAGTACATTTATGAAAGAGGTTCCAAAAGTGGAAAGCGAGTCCAGTCCAACATGGGAGCTAAAAACCATGGCGTAGTAATGCCTGATGCCAATAAAGAAAGCACATTAAACAGTCTTGTTGGGGCCGCCTTTGGAGCTGCAGGCCAGAGGTGCATGGCTCTTTCCACAGCCATCTTTGTAGGAGAGGCCAGAGAGTGGATTCCAGATTTAGTCGAGAAGGCCAGAAAGCTGAAAGTTAATGCAGGTTTGTAACAAACTTACACTTTGTTTTCATAGGCCAGGAGTCTGGAAGTTGAGGCAGGTAACAAGCTTCTACTTTGGGTTTCATGTTTGTAACAAGCTTCCATTTTGGTTTTCATGTTTGTAACAAGTTTCTACTTTGGTTTTCATGTTTGTAACAAGCTTCCACTTTGGTTTTCATGTTTGTAACAAGCTTCTACTTTGGTTTTCATGTTTGTAACAAGCTTCTACTTTGGTTTTCATGTTTGTAACAAGCTTTCACTTTGGTTTTCATGTTTGTAACAAGCTTCCACGTGATTTCCATAGGCAATGAATTAGTAAGTTAGTACAGGTTTGTCACAAACTTCCACTTGGTTTTCTTAGGCCAGGAATCTGAAAGTGAATGCAGGTTTGTAACAAGCTTCCACTTTGGTTTTCTTAGGCCAGGAATCTGAAAGTGAATGCAGGTTTATAACAAGCTTCCACTTTGGTTTTCATGTTTGTAACAAGCTTCCACTTTGGTTTTCATGTTTGTAACAAGCTTCCAGGTGATTTCCATAGGCAATGAATTAGTAAGTTAGTGCAGGTTTGTCACAAACTTCCACTTGGTTTTCTTAGGCCAGGAATCTGAAAGTGAATGCAGGTTTGTAACAAGCTTCCACTTTGGTTTTCTTAGGCCAGGAATCTGAAAGGGAATGCAGGTTTGTAACAAGCTTCCACTTTGGTTTTCATGTTTGTAAGAAGCTTCCACTTTGTTATGGTAGGCCATGAATCTGAAAGCTGATGCAGGTTTGTATCAAGCTTTCACTTTTTTTTAAAAATCTGAAAGGATATTTCCTTGTGAGAAGATTCACTTCTACCCGATTTTATCCCCACAGGACTAGGTCAATCTCCACTCCATTGTTTAAGTAACAACTCTACTGATATCTGAAACACTTGCACCTCCAGAATGAAGAATGAAGTCTAAAACCGAAAATGTATCATCTCCATGGTGTGAGGCAAAAGAATTAACCACTTTGCTATGGTTACCTATTTGTGCTGAATATTCCCTAGATCTTTAGTACTCATATCCCTATTCCTTTCAATCACTCATTAGGAGGTGTGTCTTTGATGTTTTTCAGCAGAATGTTTATATCATTTTTTTTAGAAAAAGATCTCCATTCTGCATGGTCAGCTGAAACTGTCCCAGATATTTAATAAAGACTGTTGGATTATATATGATTTATTTGTGAACATCAAAAATATGAAACCCTTTTCCACACCTTCAGGCTTATTGTGCATGTAGTGCATCTGCACCACTGGGCAGTAAATTGATACATGACAAGGCAGATGTGGTCAAGGCCCTTTGAGAACAAGCAACGGAATCAGTAGAGAAACAAGATTATTATGGCCTGGAGAGAATGAGTCACCTGGGTGTAACCAGAGGGTCTGGCTGACTCACTGCACTCAGAGGAAAGGCAAGACGGACATATAACCAGACTATGATAGGAACTCAGCGCTGGCTGCTGAAGATGACGGAGCACACATATAAAATGCCCCGAGTGTTGTGATGTAAATTATTGACTCAACTCAACTGGGCATGTAGTGCTAGACTTATATTTTATAGACCAGTTGATTTATTGTTACATCTAGCAGGTGACTAAATTATAATTGTTGTTGTCTCTCCACCAGGACATGAACCAGATGCAGATCTAGGTCCTCTCATTTCCCCAGAGGCAAAGAAGCGTGTGTGTGAACTAGTGCAGTCAGGGGTAGATTCTGGTGCAGAGCTTCTCTTGGATGGTCGCAGTATTAAAATCAAAGGATACGAGAAAGGAAACTTTGTTGGACCCACCATCCTGCACCATGTTAATGTATGTAGTGTTTGAAATCATTTGTGATTAAATAAAATACATTTAGATTTATAAAATATAAAAGTATCATATATCATATAAAGTATCAAAGAAAAGAATTATTACTAAATGTGTAATTTTTTTAAAAATTCAATGGTGTTATTTTGGGACAAGTACAGAAATTTAAGTATCTGGGCATATGGATACAATCAGATAGAAAATGCATTACTGGGATAAGAAACAGAATAGGACAGGCAAAAAGTGCATTTTATTAAAAAAAAAAAAAACAACTCAGGGACAGAGATATATTGCATTAGATTTTTTTTATTTTATAAAATGTGCGTTTTGAAAGCGGTGGATCCCGAGGACATCTTATCACAGACATAAGAAGGCGACAGTCATAATTTTTCAGGCAAAATGGAACATGTTGTGACCACTGGAAAGATATGTGGAAGGAGGGGTAGCGGAAAACGAGAGAAAATTCTTGACAGTCTTGTTGCATGGCATGGAGATGTGTCAGCCCATGAACTGATACATGCTGCAGGAGATAGCAGATTGGGGAGAGGCATGATTGCCCACGCCAGTCAGCAAGGCACCTGATGATCATGAGATTTATAATTTTGTTATACCAGTTTCTATGTTAATGCAAATTCTGGGTGACACATTTTACACCTGACATCCCACTTGTGCTAACTGCATCAGGCGGAGGTGCACACTGAGGACTATACTAGCCTTCTCCTCAGACAAGTGAATACAGCCTGAACACAATGTTACGAGAGGGCAGACCAGACCCATAGGCTTGATTCGCAGCTGGTCTAGGAGAGAAGCTCCTTTGCTTGATTCATGGCTGGTCTAGGAGGGAAGCTCCTTTGCTTGATTCATGGCTGGTCTAGGAGAGAAGCTCCTTTGCTTGATTCATGGCTGGTCTAGGAGGGAAGCTCCTTAGGCTTGATTCACAGTTGGTCTAAGAGGGTAGCTCCTTAGGCTTGATTCACAGTTGGTCTAAGAGGGTAGCTCCTTAGGCTTGATTCACAGTTGGTCTAAGAGGGTAGCTCCTTAGGCTTAATTCACAGTTGGTCTAAGAGGGTAGCTCCTTAGGCTTGATTCACAGTTGGTCTAAGAGGGTAGCTCCTTAGGCTTGATTCACAGTTGGTCTAAGAGGGTAGCTCCTTATGCTTGCTTGATTCACAGTTGGTCTAAGAGGGTAGCTCCTTAGGCTTGACTCGCAGCTGGTCTAGGAGGGAAGCTCCTTACGCTTGACTCGCAGTTGGTCTAGGAGGAAAGCTCCTTAGGCATGACTCGCAGCTGGTCTAGGAGGAAAGCTCCTTAGGCTTGATTCACAGCTGGTCTAGGGGGGAAGCTCCTTAGGCTTGATTCACAGCTAGTCTAGAGGGGAAGCTCCTTAGGCATGACTCGCAGCTGGTCTAGGAGGAAAGCTCCTTAGGCTTGACTCGCAGCTGGTCGAGGGGGGAAGCTCCTTAGGCTTGACTCGCAGCTGGTCTAGGGGGGAAGCTCCTTAGGCTTGACTCGCAGCTGGTCTAGTGGGGAAGCTCCTTAGGCTTGACTCGCAGCTGGTCTAGGGGGGAAGCTCCTTTGGCTTGACTCGCAGCTGGTCTAGGGGGGAAGCTCCTTAGGCTTGACTCGCAGTTGGTCTAGGAGAGAAGCTCCTTAGGCTTGACTCGCAGTTGGTCTAGGAGGAAAGCTCCTTAGGCTTGACTCGCAGCTGGTCTAGGAGGAAAGCTCCTTAGGCTTGACTCGCAGCTGGTCTAGGGGGGAAGCTCCTTACGCTTGACTTGCAGCTGGTCTAGTAGGGAAGCTCCTTAGGCTTGACTCGCAGCTGGTCGAGGGGGGAAGCTCCTTACACTTGACTCGCAGCTGGTCTAGGAGGAAAGCTCCTTAGGCTTGACTCGCAGCTGGTCTAGGAGGGAAGCTCCTTAGGCTTGACTCGCAGTTGGTCTAGGGGGAAGCTCCTTAGGCTTGACTCGCAGCTGGTCTAGAAGCGAAGCTCCTTAGGCTTGACTCGCAGCTGGTCTAGGAGGGAAGCTCCTTAGGCTTGATTCACAGTTGGTCTAGGAGGGAAGCTCCTTAGGCTTGATTCACAGTTGGTCTAGGAGGGAAGCTCCTTAGGCTTGATTCACAGTTGGTCTAGGAGGGAAGCTGTGGCAGGCAATAGACAGATCACTGCTTTTCTTAGCATTCACCAGCTGTAAACTCTGGCATAAATTTCTTGTTTTTCATCTACTTCTGGGCTTTGGTCTTACTCCAACTGTTGTCTCCTCAACTCTCATGCACCTGCACTTCCTTCAAAAGAAACACTCCTAATTAGTTGTCTTTTATGACGTGCATGCTGGGGGCATTGGATCACCCTCCCAGTCCCACCACAGTGGGGCCTCAACCCACACAGCAACACTGCTCTTCTGATCTTGCAGTTTTTGCAGCATGGTTTCTTCCAAGTGTACTTCTTCTAGAGTTAACAAAGCAGGATGAGAGAGGGATTATTCTGCATGGGATCTCTACAATACTGCCTAGGCTTTGTGCTGTGGAGAGGAGGAACTTCATTCTTCGCCTTAATTGGTATGGCCATAAAATGTGATTCTCTTGCCTTTTAGTGGAACACTCAACTGGAAGGATAGAAAGGTGCTAAGAAGTATAAATATTTATATAATATGCAGATAATTCATTGGGAATGGGTGAACAGTGCAGAGGTTCTGAACCCGGACCACAAGGAGTTCGTCACCCGGCCGATTGTCAGGTTTAACAAACTTCGCTAGAGAGCCGGGCGTGTGTAGAGGTTCAGACAGATCATTACAGTCTAAGGAGAATATCGCTGCGAGGAGTTACCAGGGCATTTGGCCGACACATTACACTCGGGGGAAGGATAAGACGGATATACAATTAGACGGTTACTAGTACCATTGGAATTTGAACTCTTCGCTTGCTGCTGAAGATGGGGACTGAGCACTTATGGGAGTGTCCCGAGTGCTGTGATGTTGATTCCTAATTCAACAACATTCAACATTGATTGTTTTAAACCCTAAAGGCTGTTGAAACAACATGAGCCCAAGTAAGTGTGTTAATTGTTGATTTCCTTGTATACTGGGGTTGTAAAGGATAGTTGAGAATTCAGTTTCCATTTATGATGGATTTTCATTCAGCATTATTTAGCTGCCTAGAAAAGCTAGAATTTTCATCTTAACCTGATGATATTATGACTTGGCATACATGAAGGCTGAAGCCTAAGTGTCTTTTGGTATAGGTGAGACTCGGTTTGACCCCACTTGTTTCCTTTATCATTGTTTCTGATCCTTGTGTTGGTAAAATGTATCATAAATAATAGAATCGAGGCTGAGACCAGTGATAGATCCACGGTTGACAGAAGGACAGATGGGATTTAGGACAACAAGAAGCTGCACAGATGCAATATTCAAACTTAAACAGTTATTTGAAAAGAACATTGAATGTAACTTATTAGTGGCATTCATAGACTAGGAAAAAGCATTCATACATGAAGGCTGCAGCCTAAGTGCGGGTAAAAGAACAGGTTACTGCTATGAAGTTAATCCTACCTTATGCTCAGTTGAAGTAGGGAAAAAATACACCTCTCTTACCTAATTTTTTTTATATCATGACAGCCTAAGATGAAGTGCTACACGGAGGAGATTTTTGGGCCAGTTCTGCTGAGTATGGAGGCGGACACTCTAGAAGATGCCATCCGAATTGTCAACTCTAACCCGTACGGTAACGGCACAGCTATCTTCACCACTAATGGTGCAACTGCTAGAAAGTACACCATGGAGTGTGATGTTGGCCAGGTAAGAGACAAGTGAAGCAGCTTTTTCTTTGTTAAACAAAGTCAGGTGGATAACTTAGCACAAAATCACTCATCTCTGGCTATATACATTCATTATGACGTTTTCTCCTCTTTTGAGCATAAGCCATCAGCTAGCTCACCCCAGGCTTTACTGACTGACTAATGTTCAACCCCCATCAGGACATCACACCAAGCAATAAACACCCGGTGATACAAAGTGGCACCATTCAGATGAGTATCACCCGGGGACAGGTCCCAGAAACCCTGTTCAACCCATAGGTTGGGTTAAATTAGGGCTCCCCGTAACAGCCAGAATGGGGCTTTAAAACAAAACCCCCAAACATTAGCGTCTGACATTGATACCAGTTCACTTCCTATAAACAGTTCTTCTCTGTGTCCTCCCCATATTATTTATTTATATGTGTAAATCTCTTGTCTCTTTTCCATGTGTTATTGACATCAACATGTCATGGAAAGTACATTTTTTCCCCTTCCAGGTTGGGGTGAATGTTCCAATCCCAGTGCCTCTTCCTATGTTTTCCTTCACTGGCTCACGAGGCTCATTCAGAGGAGATCAACACTTCTATGGAAAACAGGTAATAAAAATGGAAAGTTTTTATTTTTATGATGGGTGGTTTGGGGCTTCTCAATTAGAGCTGTGAAATGTTACAGCATAGTTCTTAGAATACCTTGGACCAAGAACAGGAAAAATGCAAACCAAAGGTGTGACTTATGAGAATGTCATAAACAGGAAAATGAAATATTAGGATGTTAAGAGCTTTAAGTGTTACAAGATTAATCATCAACACTATACAAAAACAACAGTTCAGATTTATGGGGCATCAGTAGAGAAGGTAAATGGAGAAATTAGGTTTAACTGGCCAGAGTACAAGATACTACTAGACAAGAGAAGCAAAGATATTTGTGGAAAGCTTCATTGAAATATGACAGATAAAAAAGGGTCTACTACATCACTGCCTACTCCAGGAACAGATACCTGAAGTAGAAGAGATGTCTTGCAGGATTTGATGACAAAGAAATTTGACTCATAAAACAGTATCAGATCTTTCGAATCTGACATTCTGTGGTCAGATTATACATCACAGTGATTGAAAAGAGCAGTGGTTTTGCATAAGAGCACTTCCACTGGACATCACCAGTCTTTTCTTAAGGATCCTATGTGGAGAATATCAGATGGGATTTAGGAGAACAAGAAATTGCACAGATGCAATATTCACACTTAAAACAATTAATTGAAAAGAACATTGAATATGATATTAGTGGCATTCATAGACCAGAAGAAGACATTCAACAAAGTTGGTATGCAAATGTTATGGAAAGTAATGGCTCATTATGGAGTAAGTGAACACCTCATCAGAGTAAGCAGAAGTCTATAGAGACAGAAGAATCTTAATTAGAAAAAAAATCATGGAAATGACAGCATTTCACATCCATGCATTAAAAATTTAAAACAAATATGAGAATCAACGATGAAAAGACAGAAGTAATGTGTAAGAAGAAAGAAGCTAAACCTAAATACAGCATTCGAGTCCAAATGTATTAAACAGGCGTCTGAGTTTAAATATCTGGGAACAACATTCATCAAAGATGGTAAACTGGATGAAGAAGTTATCTGATGCAATAATACAGACCAAGTATTGGGACAACTAGCCTCTGTTTTACAGCATAAGACAATCCCAAGCATCAGAACAAAATCTTTCTTGCAAAATCTATTAGCAATAAAGTTCGTCCTCTCCATAGTCCTGGGCAGTATTGTAGATAGAGACCACATGTTGCCCATGCAAAATGGTTTCTTGCTCGACCTGCCTTTTTTATTCCAAAGGAAAGGTAACACAATTCTGAATTACCTGGTTTGATTCAGCTGCAGGTGATTTGCCAGAAGACCATTTTGATGTTGATTTTAACAATGATATGAAGAGCTGACTGTTCAGAAGGCAGTGGCAAACTAATGAACGTAAACTGCATAGTAAAGCCACAAACAGCTAGCAGATGCTTGGCTTGGTTCTGCTACATCCTATAGAGCAGTGGTTCTCAACCTTCTTAATGCAGGGACCCTTTAAAACAGTTCCTCATGTTGAGGCAACCCCCCCCCCCCCCCCCAAACCACAAAATTATCTTCATATCTTCAGTGAATATGTTTTTCGATGGTCTTATGCCACCCCGGTAAAATGGTTGTTCGACACCCCAAAGGTGTTGCGACCTACAGGTTGAGAACCATTGCTTTAGGGGATACTTCATCATCTTAGCATTCACTGGCTGTAAACTCTGGCAGAAAATGTTGGTTGTGTTGTCCACTCCTGGGCTTTGGTCTTAATCCGGAACCTGAGTGTTGCATGCACTTCTGTTTTACAGATCTGGCTTATTTGTATGCAGACTGCTGGTTGCTTGCTTGCACCTCTGACTTTGAAAGAGACACCACTAATTAGTTGGCTTTTACAGCATGCTTGTTTAGAGGGGCAGTGGATCTATTGTCTTCCTACATGAAGCCCTGTAACCCACATGGAGAGTAAAGGATACATAGCTAACTTTATAAGTCATAGTCAGATGGTTTTGCCAGTGTCTTTTGCATATCTATATGTGGTTTTTTGCAGGGAATCCAGTTCTACACACAGGTCAAGACCGTGACTCAGATGTGGCGTGGGGAAGATGCAGTGTCACACAAACCTGCCACAACCATGCCTGTTCAACATTAATATCTTCATCATCACTCTTTGATGGTTGTAATCTCAATTTACTTATGGTGTGGGAAAAGTTTAAATGGTCTAGTATCATTGAACGAGAGAAAATATGTATAAGAAATGAGTAAAAAACAGAAGGCTGTGGGTGAATATGATGACCAAGGACACACAGCGTTGATTGTAAGAATTGTGTGGAAGAAAAGAACAGAAAGTGGAAATGATATAATGTGCCTTGACTAATGCCTTTTTTTGTAGAATGAGAGTTGTAACCTGAATGATGAGTGCAAGGTTGAATCATAACTTTTCTTTTGGCAAGAGTGTTTTGATGTGTAATTATATGTTTTGATATTTGGGGAGCTGAGGTATTTTACCCTCTGTTTTGCGGGCATTTGTGCGTCCGTATGTGTGTAAAATATATATATATATATTTACGCACACACACGCAGGTCAACATTACAGGGACTCCTGTGGATATACTGTCCAGAAGATCCAGGAGTGTGAGGGAATGAAAGACCAGATTTTTTTTTCTATAAAAGCAGTAGCTACAGGAACACTTGTACTAGACAAAGAAGACAATCCAAAGACCATTTATGAACACAGCTGATAGAAGACACAAGTTTACATGAAGGAGCCTATGTAAGAATGTGTAAACATAGAATTAAGAGTGGATCCAGCAAGGAGGGAAGTATGAGAGGAAGAGAATGATGTGTGTTTAATCAGAATGCTACAGGAGCAGTCAACATCTGCACCTTAAGACATTTGCTGCTGGAGACACAGCAGCTGTGGGTATGCCCGGTGTGCTGGAATGTTGATTTTTTAATCAGTAATTAGTGTGTGTACAAATGATGTTTTGATATAAAGTAAGTTGATTCAATCATCATGATTAACACCCCCCTTCTCCCCACAATCGAACTGTAGAATACCTTATAATTGTAAAGTACTCTAATATAACTACACTAAATAGTTGAACAAGGTATTTTGGATTTACTCCTGTCTGGAAGAAATTTCACATGTTTGTGCTGTCATCATCTTGCTTATCAAAGAATAATTCAGCAACTGGTAGATTTATTCTGTAGTAGAAGAAAACCTGCGAACAGTATAACCAGAATGTCTTTGCACTGGAACCTGTACAGGCTTAGAAATAAAGTCAGACCAAAAACACAGGGAGAAGGGAACTAGAGAGGGAAGTTAAAAAGATGGGGAGGACATGGGGTAAGCAGCTTGCAGTAGTAAAGGACAGGGAGACTTGAGTTGGTTGAATGCCTATGCTCTACTGGGGGAATATAGGGCAGAAGCAGTCTTTTGAGGGGGCAGAGACAGTTATTTCCCTTCTTATACCTCAGGTATGAAGTTGATATTGTTTGTTGAGAGGCATTTCAAATGATTGTACCTGTTGATAAATGTTCCAGATTTTGATTATATGTTTTAAACAAATTAATTATGAGACATTTATTCAGCTTTTCAATGAAATTCGAAAATCATATACATTTTTTTGGGGTCTGAAATGTGATGATTCTGTAAGTCAACTCAATAAATGTTTTTGAACATCACAGAATAAACTTCTTCACATATAAATATGTTGTTTGCATCAGTATCATTATTTTATATGCACAGTGAGCATGGCTCTCTAGCGTTGTTGGCTAAACCTGATTTCGCAGTTACCGGGTGACGAACTCCTTGTGGTCCGGGTTCACTCCCGGGGGTAGGCAGAAAAGCCACATTTCTCCCAGATGCACGGTATTTATCATGGAATCAAGGCCGAATGGTTGCGATATCCATAGTACCGAGCCAAAGGGTTAAGAACTCATGGTTTCTGGATATTTAAAAAAAAAATTTACACAGTGACAATTTTTTTTAATGGATTTGTGGGTTGTATGTTTACTGGTCTTTTTCTGTCGCTGTCTTTGTCTCCCTCTCCCTCTCTCACACCCCCCTTCTCTTTTTTAGTGTCTGTGGCTTAGGCATTGTAAACATGCTTCTCAGTGCCAGGATGCCGGGTCGATCCCAGCTGCTGAGTTTTTCTTGCGTGGTTTTCGACAGTGGTATCAAGAGCTGACAGTTTAGAAAGCAGTGAACATAAAATTTGCTTAGAAAAACCACAACAGTTAAAAAATGCTGGGGTTGGTTCTGCAATGTCCTGTAAAGGATACGCAACTAACTTATGTTAGACAGGCAAATCATGTGTGCATTACCCGTTCTTGAAATATGTGGGAGTCAGATTATCTTTATATAACATAGAGCTCTTAGCGTACACACATGTGATCAGTCTCCTTCATGTGATGAGGAAGGGAGGATAGAGCTGCTGTCTGGACATGGTTGTGGATTCACAAACATTGTGACTAATTCTTTTTTTTCTTCCCCCCAACTCTCACATATACGTGCATGGGCACGCACATACATGCGTGCACACACATAACCAGATGGTGTCAGTAGTCGCAAAAAAAGTCTGGCTGGTCCTACATATTTTTCTTCAGCAAAAAAAAGTCATGAAATAGATCCACAGTGCGAGCATTTAACATAGAATAAACAAATGAAAACTAGCTATAAAGTTAAAGGTTAAAGAGGATCTACAACATTACACCCTGTTTTATTTATGGCTCAGTCTTTCTCCACAGACTGAGGCTAGCTACCTGCTGAGAGCATCGCACAGAGCACAAACTCCATAGCTCTGATGATGATCCCCAGGGCTCTTAAAAAAAATTGTGTTCATGAATTGAACAACGCAGCCATGAAACGAACCCATGACCATCAGAGCATGATGCAAATAGCTTTGCCACGGCAAAAAGTACCAGAAACCACATTCAACCGTCAGGTTATATTAGGGCTCCCAACTACAGCCAGGTTTGGGTTTTAAAATAATGAAAAACTACATTCCATTTTTAATGGGAATTTTTAAATTTTAAACTGATAAATATTATTCATTATATACAACATGGAGATGGATGGCACTGCAGATCTGTTCATTGTTTTAGAATATTTTAAGTTTAATTAGTGTTTCTTTCAGATACGTGCATGCTACAAGAGTTGAACTAAGTCCAGAATTGACATCACAGCACTCGGGGCATCGCTCCATCCTCATCTTTAGCAGCCAGTGCAGAGTTCCAATACTGATGGTACACATTCTGGTTATATGTCCATCTTGCTTTTCCTCTGAGTATAGTGAGCCAGCAGACCCTCTGGTTACACCCAGGTACCTCATTCTCTCCAGGCCATAATAATCTTGTTTCACTACTGATTCCGTTGCTTGTTCCCAAAGGGCCTTGACCACATCGGCCTTGTCATGTATTAATTTACCACCACCCCCCCCCCCCCCAGGTATGGCCTGATGAAAAGATCCAAAGTATGATCACTACCCAAGACCTTTCCAGTGAAGCTTGCGTGCATGCTACAAATATCCTTCTTACCTTTGTATACAAGTGGTGTGAGAAGGAGCAAGAAAATAAAACAAAACCTTACTGTAATTAAAATTAATTGAGTATCCTTTACAGGACGTTGCAGAACCAATCCCAGCACTTTCTGGCTGTTGTGGTTTTTCTAGGCAAATTAACGTCCAGTAGTTTGCCGTTGCTCCCTGGATGGTCGGCTCTCAGTACAACAATCGAAACCATCGCAAGGCAAACCAACCGTCCGCAGCAGGGATCGAACCCGACATTACGAAGCGTGTTCGCAACGCCTAAGCCACAGACGCCGACCTTACTGTAATAAGGATTTTAAAAAGAGGGCTCTCCAGGCTACGGTTCAAACACATTTTCAACATTGTAAAATTCACCACTAACAAGAAGTCTGCTTATTAGAAATGACGTATATACACCAGAACCTACCAATTAAATACCTTTCTTAAATGTTTGTGTATTCTGGACAAAGCATACAAGTCTACTGTGTTCGTAAATTGTTGATGTGATTGTTATTCGACATATGCTTGGTTAATATAAATTTCTGTAACCTATGGTGCCATTTAAATGGTTTGAAATGAATTCTGTCCGTATTCCGTAGTTGTGGATTTCAAGTTGTATGATAGACATATGGCCAATAAGAAACCTTTTTGGTGTTGTGCCTAGTTGACCATGTTCTTAGTGCACTTGTATTCATGGCGAGGCGCAGACAACGTCTGGAAGTGACAGGTTCAATTCCCGGCACGGTAACTATAGCTTTCGATTTTTATGTTGTCTAGTGTGTTCTTCTATCTATCTACTTCTTTCTATGAGTGCCGATCAATACACTTGCTGTTACTTGAATAATTCTTATTAAGTGAGCGTGTCTGCACGCGCGCAGTTATGGCACCTCTTGTCATGTGTTTTTGATTTACCCACCAACAGTACTTACGTCTGGCCCAGTCTAAACATTGGTAACCAGGTATGTTTAAAACGAAAAGTGACCAGCCTGCTATTGACCACAATGCTCAATAAGGAACAGGATTGGCCAGGCAACGACAGCATTTCAGAAGATGAAAAGTATCCTATGTAATAAGTCACTCTCAATAAACATCAGAAAACGAGTACAGAAATGTTATATCGAGCCTGTTTTGTTGTGTGGCAGAGAATCTTGGAATGTGAGCAAAGAAATGAAGAGTTTGGAGGCAACGGAGATATGGTTCTTAAGAAGAATGTTGCGAATACTTAAGACTGCCAGAATAACTCACAATGATTGCCTGGAAATGGCTAATGAAAGTAGAACATTATTTACAACAACGGAGACAGACCAAATTCTTCGGTCATTTGATGAGTAAAGGAGCAATGGAAAATATCGGGATGACTGGAAAGATCACTGGTAAAAGATACAGACCAAGAGAAATGATGGTGGCTGGCTTAAGGCAGTGGCATAAAGGAATATCATCAGTGGGATTGATCCAAAACACCAAAGACCGAGGTGTGGAGGTGCATGAACACCTATGTCAGCTGGCAAGGCATTTGATGATGATGAATCGGTCTGTACATATATGGCTTAGCCAGTTTTGCGGGGATCAAAATTAGAATTTTGAGAGCATTCATCTTTCCTGTGGCTACATACGGATGTGA